TTATTATTATTATTATTGTTGTTGTTGTTGTTGTTGTTGTTGTTGTTGTTGTTGTTGTTGTTGTTATTCAAATATCAAAATTGTCAAAGGGATTCAACATAGACTGCTTAAATTCAACACAATGGGAAACATAATATAGGCCTATTATATGTTTTATGTTTTATAAATAATGCCAGCTCATAATCATTATATTGGTGCAGACAGGAAGTCTCTAATATGAACATACTTGTGACAGTAAATACGTTTTCAGATGAAATGCAGCATATTATTCAAATTATAAAATCCAAATTTATAATTACAAAAACGTCGAAACTACGATGTAACCATCATCTCTGACGCAAGGGGAAGCCACTCTGTCCCTTAGCAATGTCGTCTGCTGTTTCTTGATCTACTGTTTACACTCGTGATTCTCGTGTCTCTCGTTTTGTGTCTGCTGTTTGTTCAGCTTTTCCTGATAAAAAAATCAATGCAATGGAAAGTATAAGCAAATGCCAGCTAACACAAAATAAAGGCAGGGAAACGCAAATGACGAACTTGGACCAGAGCTGCCATGCAGAGACTAGGACAAGGAGGAGGAGAAGTAAAATTAAAAACGCATTGTTGTTAGTTCAGATGCCACATGCCATATAAACAAGTTTAGGTAGATCTAGATCTAGATCTAGATCTAGATCTAGATCTAGATCTATATATCTAGATCTAATAATCTAGATCACAATGATATGAAATATGATAAAACCATCTCCTCAGTCTGAGGGAAACTGTTTTGATGGATGGTTGGCGGGTGCTCTGGTGTGGTTTAAATACTCCTTCTTTCCTTCCTATCAACCGTATACTCCTTCTTTTTGTGTTTTTTATTCTTTATTTATGCCTCTAATCTTTGGCATTTAAATCTAGATATATCTAGATCTAGATTAGATCTAGAATCTATATGACATCATTTTGTCGTAAGTGCCTTAAAACTCTCACTTTAAAAAAGTGCTAGCCAACCATCTATCATTATCATGCTAGATCTAGAATCTACTTTTTTAATTTAGGTTTCAAGAATTTTTCCCAATGGCTTACGACCTGAGTGGCAAAGTGGCAATAGTGACCGGTTCCAGCTCGGGAATGGGTCAGAGCATTGCCGTGCACCTGGCCAGGCAGGGAGCAAAGGTCACTCTGTGTGGGAGGGACAGCGGACGGTTGGCGGCTGTCAAGGAGGAATGTGTCACGTGTAGCAAGGGTGGCCCGGAAAGGTAAGTGAAGATGTGTGTTTGTGGGAGTGTCTATCTGTCTGCTTGTCTGTGTATCTGCCCCTGCATCTCCACCTCCACCCTCTCT